TTTAAACTTAACTGGAAGGAATGTCGTTTAATCACCAGCGACTCTTAATCTTTTTTCAACGAATCTGGGTACAGGAAAGAGAAGGCTAATTAAATTCTTAGGAGTCTTTATTCAGAAAATGCATGAATATAGCGGATAAAACGTTTCGAAAATAAATTTTTACAAAATCGTCCTCCAAAATCGATATGATAACTAAGAACAAATTAAATCATCTGATCTACAAACAAGTAAGTTTGTATTTGTTTGCAAAAATGAAAAAGCAACCAACAATGTTGTCGTTGTAAGATATAAGGAATGCTCAAAACTAATTCGAGTTCATTCATATCTACAACTAGTTTACTTAAAAAGATTTTATATGGATATGCTTCAACAATAACGGCATTGAAAGCTGCTGCAGGACATCACAAGGTTCAAACTTCGCATGCTCTTCTGAATTTTGATCTTTCACCTCAGTTTTTTTTTTACCTTGATTTGTATTATTTTCTAAGAGATTTATGGGATTTTAACATCTGGATGTACCGTACTCCGGGTTCCAGGAGGTGTGCCTTGATTGGCAGAAGTTATTTACAGAAACAGAAACAGATGGCTATAAAAAACGGTAATCAAAACAAAATTGAATTTCAAAGTATTTAGCCGCACTTCCCTTCAATCAAAATGATAAATGTAAACAAATTGTAAAAAGTAAATTGACATGGCCCTAAAAGGCTTCCGTATAAATGTCCCATATAAGGTGAACCCGATAATAAAGCAAGCAATATTTCTTCAACAGTACAAGGAAAACAACTACTAACGTACATGAAATAAGAAAGTAAATTAACTCCCTGTTTCACTGGATATCTTTGATTCAGTTAACATGTTGCCATTGTTTGGTTATAAATATACTTTTTGGATAGCATAAAACAAAAGATTCGATAACAACCCATTATTGACATTTGCCGTTTTAAATCAAAAATGGTGACTTTAACTATCCTTCGCAAGAATGCTCTGTGCTAGTCATTTGGTCCTGATCGTTGTAGGTTTGTCCTGATTTTGAGGTGAATGGTGGGTCCTTGTTTCTATACTGGTGGGTTTGTTAACTATTTACCAGAACGGCAATAAGACAACTATTCTGTCTACTAAAATCGGAGTCGAACACACCTTGCAGAAGCGGGGTTCGAACCAGTAACATCAAGGATCACCGAAGAAGAACTTTTCAGACCATACAGCCACCAAGACTTATTATTAAAAACAGAAAATTTAGTCTTCTTATATCAATAAAATGAATGTAATTCTTGAAATAAGTTTGTCTAATGTTGATTTATTATATGGTTCGAAGCTCATTCGCCATAAATAATACATTTAAAAAATGAAAAAGCAATGTCTATACATGAGATCTGGATATCATTTTTTATATAGATAATAAACAAAATATTGATAAATAACTTTAAAGCAATAGCTTTGCATCAAAGTTACAGGCTCCTGATTTGAGACAGGCAGATACAGATTGTGGCGGGGTTAAACATGTGAGCGGGCGCCCAAACCCTCCCTAGTTCAAAGCCAATAAAAACTAATACAAATAATCATGCATCTAAGACTAATAACGTTAACGGTACCACTTGTTGTTCTGCACCAGATAAAATACGTATATGAATTGAACCCGAAACTAACGGCCTGACTGAATATGTACAAAACAATATGTATAAATTATGTTTATATATTGAACCCTGTACTTTATAACTACAATAACAAAATATAAATTAAAGTGGTATAAGTTATGTTTAATCCAATTAGATAATACAAATACCTAGTCTATTCTGGTACTATTCTGAAGACCATTCAAAATATGTAGGACAAAAAAAATCCATGTGGAAGAACTGGTTTTATTGAAAAGTAGGACACTAGTTCACTATAAATAGACGTCCACAATAATTGGCAAGCAGTTGGAAAGAGGTATACAGTACCATTATGACTTCTCGTAAGTTAAAGTTTATCTGTTGTCATAGTAAATATCATGTAAATTATAGCTATTATACAGGCGTGCATTTCAAGTTTTCAAATCAATTACGTTTCTATGAACATGTTTCGAGAATTTGTATAGTTGTATGATTTTTGTTTTAAGATTCGAGACAATTGATTTTAGGTTTTCTTTAGGTTAGTTCAAGGTATAAATGATTTTTTTCACACATGCGTAAAAGCTTGGTTTATCCATCATGGTATATATATTTTTTAATATTTAATCATGTAAAGGTTCCAGTAAAAATAGGAAATCAGTAAGATCCAGATCCACCTAGTACAAATCGGAATTCAGTAGGATCCAGAATCCACCTTGTACAAATTGGAATTCAGTAGGATCCAGAATCCACCTAGTACAAATAAGAAATCAGTAGGATCCAGATCCACCTAGTACAAATCGGAATTCAGTAGGATCCAGAATCCACCTTGTACATATTGGAATTCAGTAGGATCCATAATCCACCTTGTACAAATTGGAATTCAGTAGGATCGATCAGAATCCAAGTTGTACAAATCAGAATTCCAATATCTTCTATGTAGAAATTAGAACTCTGATTTATACTAGGCTGAATAAAATCCATTACAAATGAAAATTCCAATATCTACCAGTGGAATTGGGATATCAAGATTTGTACTAGAATGGTCCTGGAGTGTACGAGATGATAGCTATAAAGGACACAATAATTATTGAAAAGAGTACGGTTGTTATTCTTTATAATGAAATGAACTAGTATAATCAAACTTGTCGGAATCAAAAAGAAAAGAGGTAGAGCCAATTTGCTATGAATTTATTTCACAGCAAAGCTTTTTTTCCAAAAGTCCTTCAGTCTTTACTAAAATTCACTGTACTATAAGTTCATATGAAGAACTTTAAGATTTACGTTAAAAACACTTATAATATTAAGTGTAAATGTATTTTGATCAAAATTATACCTATGTATGGTTAAGACTTCAATTTTGGTAAATTTTGAGTAATTAAAAGCATATGAAATATTGCCTATCTAATAAGAAATTATATTTCATTACTGTTAATGATGTCTTTGTATAAAAAGTTCAACAAATGTTATATTTTAAATAGTATCTCAAAATTAATATTCAGAAGACAATCTTGTTATTTCACGCTAAATATATTTCCCTGAATTTCCATGCTGTAAAGTCAAAATTGTTTGCTTGCTATCATAATACCATAAACAAAATATTAGCAAATGTTATTACAAAAAAGAAAATCACGAACGTTAATGTATGTTTCAATATTTTGTAATAAGTATTGAAAGTGACGATGTATTATCATTTATTTTTTTTTTCTACTTATCAAGTGCACCAGTAAAAATAGTACATAAAAATAGCAAGTAAAAATCCAGAATCATACTTACTATTACTTTCAATTATATCCTGGATCCTCCTCTATGAAGTTAGTACAAACCAGAATCCTCCTAGTGCAAATCTGGACATCGCTATGTCTTCTAGAAGCTATTGGAATTCTGATTTGTACTGGATTTTAATTAGGGGACGACCATTTGATATTCTGGGGGGGGGCCAGGAGGATTTGTTTTGGATCGGTTATTTATTTTTGTAAACTAAGAGGACAGATTATCTATTTTCTGCACTATTGAAGCAAGATTTTTCATTTTCATTAAAGCAAGGGACTGATTATTTATTCTCACAACTATATTTATAATATTCGAAAACATACAATTTTTAAATTATTTGTTTATTATAAATAATTCATACATGTATAGTCAAGTCATTATGTACCATTTAATCAGAATTAATTATTATCCTCTGCAGAAATGAATCTTCTATATTCCCCAATGCATATATACACAGTATTAAAGTTTGGTTGTAACTAAGGCTCTTTTAAAAGTATTGGCAAACATGTTTCGCCGAGCGTAGCGAGGCAAAAATTTTTTTGAAGGGTTTTTGAACCGCTGAAGGCCCAAGAAGCTATAGAACAAATGGTGCAAAATCATGCCTTCTGGGTGTTCCCCAGACCTTTTCTTAAACTGAAAATGCAAGTTCTGTTTTAATAATTTTATGACAATATTTTGGTCTCAAAGCAAAATCACGTTATAGATTCAGTGTAAGACTTAAGTTTCTAGGAACAACATCAAAAGACAAATATGCATGATAAAGCAAAAATGTAATTCACATAGTTAAGTCTGTGGCTGCTGTGTTTTTTTTAAGCTCATGATCAAGTTAATACTAAAATTACTTAATTACAAAATGAATGCAACACTAACAGAATACAGAAGGGCAATCAATGAATAAAAGACAAATAAATAAGAAACATTGATCCCGAAAAATCAGGGGCTACGTCTGAGGGAGAACAGAACTTGCTTCTTGCAAGGCACTCACGGTGAACACAATTTGATATGGAGACAAGCGTTTGGTTTTGAAATTTCCTACATGAGGCATTTGTCTCAATGTAGTTACGGCCCTGATTTAATAAAAGTGAGGTAAGTGTTCCTGAGACAATTAACCTCAAGTTAAATGAAACCAATTTTCTGACATTTCAAGTATATTTTTATATTTAAATAATATTTATACTTTTATTATTAAAAGATAATAATATGGGAAGTCTTTCCCGATTTTTTTTTTGGAAAAAAGATGAATTTATGAAGAATCTGGTGCCATCTCATACTTTCGATTAGACCTGCTGAGTTATTTATTTTCAATACATTGCAAGTCAGGTAATTTATTTTCAAACTACCACAGAACAAACCATTTATTTTTGTGATTATCAAGGCTGAGTTATTTATTTTCAAAATCCTCCTGCCCCCCCCCCCCCCCCCCCCCCCCCCCAGAATATCGAATGGTCGTCCCCTTATTATAAATCAGAATTCTAATTTCTACTAGACGTTTTTAGTATATATTGGAATTCCAATTTGAACTATAGGAGGATTTTTTTTATCCTACTGAATTCCAATTTGTACTGTAACATATATATTTATTTATTTAGTTTAATAATCATTATTATTATTCCAGTGCTAACATCAAAATGGTCTTTCATGGTGACTATTTTGTTAATCCTTTGCTCACCTGTCCACAACATTTCTCAAAATGATAAAGATGCAGCTAATTATGGTCTTGAAACTGGAAAAGGGATAGCTGAACTGCTTGCACAGAGAGATTTTGGAAAGTCATTGACAAAGATCGGAAAAAGTGTCGGTCCTTATCTTGGCGCATTAGGTCCCTTCGTAGGTATCATCACGGCGGTCATTCCATCTGAGTCTGATGAGTTAGCTTTCATGAAAAACATGATGAAGGAAATCGATAAGCGTTTAGATAACATAGATAATCGATTCAACGATATCGAAAAGATGATTAAGTGGAGTGTTGTTCAAATCAACTTCGGGCAAATAGAACAAAGAATACAGGCAACGTCGCGTGAATTTAAATATCTATATGAGGTTCCAATGTCTGCTGTGCAAAATAGAAAATTGCTTTTTATTTCGAATTATAAAAGTGATTATCAGAATAGTGGCAATAAATTGTTTCAAGCAATTATCCAAGGACAAGGTACATTTCAAGAAGATCTTGGTACTTCTGTTTTGCGTTATACCGGCAAAGACCGCAGAAAGACACAGTTATTTCTTCTCGGTGTTATGCAACTTCTCTTGCAAGCTGTAAAAGTAGAATTAGGTTATCTTCTAGTTAACCAATACACTCACAATGCAAACTTTATGAAGTTGGAATGGGAAAAAAAAATACAGACGGTTCGAAAGAAGTTCGAGTACATTGACTATCAATGTGCTAATGTATATTATCACGCCCAATCCGGAAAGGAACTTGATGAATATTCTGCTAAAAACAAGGGTTTAACTAATTCTCAATTTGCCTCTGGGCTATTTCAACATCTTGGTGGAAAGTACTATTGGAGGGACTGGGCTGTTATTGCCTATAATCCCATATGGGGCGGTGACAACCATTGGGTAGGTGTTAGTGGGGGACACATCAAATTTAGGAAAGATGGAAGAAACATAGTAGTGGCGAGCGTAGACAAGAAACATTCAGTCATGGATTTAGCAAGAGCTGAGCAGGATATGAAAAAAGTATCCATGACATATCGTACTGGAAATTGGTGGACAGGGTATAGAGACGCTCGTCGTAATGCGAAAGATGTTTTTAACTCTTTGGATAAAAGAGGAGCCTCGTTGGTTAGTGTTATAAGATGTTATAACAATATGACGTACCATTACCACAGTAAACGATATAGATACGTCCCTAGATGTCCCCATTTCGATCTCTTTATGTGGGGTTGACCGATTTTAAGACAGTGTTACTATCAATCGCTGATTATTGATCTTACAATTCAATGCATTTATTGTTATAACCCTTCATTTTTAAAAGGACAAGTTTCTTTGAAGATAACTTTTCCCTCCTTTTTAGTCATGTTAATTGACTTACATTTTTTGTAAAAAGGACACTTGTAACATACAATTATTTCTCTTTATTTTTCAAAACTTATTGATAAACAACTTTGTAAATGTATTTCATCATTATTTTGCTGGAAAATGGTGGCATTCATTGAATCAACCAAGCACGAATATTACTACTTAAACACAAGAGTGGCTTAAGTGGCTCTAGAATTTAGGTGCATCCTATTCAATAAAATCCAAAATGCAATACGATTTCAGGTACTCGTTTTTCTTAGTGGCTAACGACCTTACACTAGTAACGTTCTCTGATAAATCGTTATTTCTAAATTAAGAGGTAGATGGGGGTCGAAATTCAAATCAATAGATTTTTTTAATAATTTGCCAAAATTAAGTTTATGGGATGTTTTTTTTTCAAAAATGTAATAAAAAAATTAGTTACGGGGCATTTTTTCGAGGTGCAGATTGTGCAAAATTGTCAGATGTTGTATAGATTATACAAAATCATGGAAAAACCTATTTTGTGTGATAAAAAGAAAACTAAACGTAGAATTTTAAGATAAATTATGAGAAGGTAGCTCTTATTGTGTGATTTCAGAAATGAACAAGAAAAACTGGGATTACGAGGCTCGTTTTATTGTAACGAATTATTATTCATACAGAATTTTTGCTTATAAAGTTTTAATTTCTAAACCCCGTCACATTCTTTATGTTCGTGTCCAAAACCAGGAGCCTGCAACACAGTGGTTGTCGTTGGTTGTTGTAATTGTTGTTTTACGTTTATTGTTCCCGCCATTTTGTTCTTAGGTTTTATATTCTGAATTAAATGGCATTTCTTTTAATCCCTGAGCCTTTCATATAAAAATAAGAAGATATGGTATGATCGCCAATGAGACAACTCTCCACCAGAGACCAAATGACATAGAAGTTAACAACTGTAGGTCACCGTTGCCTTCAGCAATGAACAAAACATAGCTGACTATAAGGTGTGAGATTTGCTGACTGTTAATGGCCATACTGGTGTGACGCACGTGTAATTGTTCTCCTCTTCTCCTTTTCTCTTTGATATAAAAAGTGGAGATGTGGTATAATTGACACTCATACAACTATTTTTTTTTTTCTAATTTGTTCTCCTTGTTTTTATATAGAACTCTTTTCATGTGTTAGAATTTGTTAACTGCAACACCCGAAATTATATAAAATATGCAATCTTTAAGAGGCCGAATTCACAAATTTCTTACAAAACAAAACTTTATGTAAACATGAAGAAAAAAAACAATTATTAATTGTCACTTAGTCAAAATGCTTAATCCTGTATTTAATTTTTATACTCTAATTCAGCGCAAAATATTTAAGATAAAGTAACTTGTCTTACGTTGCTTGCTCTACATGAGGGTCTGGAGGTTTACAGAATATAGAATAATGGACATAAGTGGCTAAAAATAAAGAATAGAGAAACATAGGCACACCAAATAGAGAATAGAGAATAATGGGGTACTGAAATATAAAGCATGGAAAATAATGGACAAACTTTATAAAGTATATTGAAAAATGGCATATAAATAAAGGAATACATAATTAAAGGAACCCCTCATCCAGACCCCACTACATAACAAGAAAGTATATTGAGTTATCTCGCTTCGTTTATATGACATAACATTTATATAGCATTAAAGGTATATCAAATCGCCATTTTTATTCTTTCTCACACGGACATATTGAATTGTGTTTGAACTATTATTAAGACATTTCATTGAACAAATGTGAGTTGTCTGTTTTATAGTTTTTATTACCTCTTTTGGTATATAAGTCTTGTTTTTTTTTCTAATTTGGTTGCTCTCAGTCACAAAAACTTGTCTGAAAAAAAATACCTATATACTTTAATATGTTATATTAAAGTCTATTTTTAATTTTGGATCTTTTTCTTTTTCTTATTTTGGCCAGAAAAAAAATCCTTTTTTGAATTGCCAATTTTTTGTTGTAAATTTGGCATTCTTTACACCGGTGTTGAAAATTATTACACCAAGATAACTTATACTATACCGACATGAGGAAATACTACCGCAACGAAAGGTGCAAATACCAATGCAAAGACAGGTTCAAATATCACAATACTGACATGTGCAAATACCACAATACCGACAAGTGCAAATACCACAATACCGACAGGTGCAAATACCACAATACCGACAGGTACAAATACCACAATACCGACAGGTGCAAATACCACAAAACCGACAGGTGCAAATACTACTGCCACGACATGTTCAAATACTACTGTACCGACAGTGGTGCAAATACTACTGTACGGACAGGTGGTGAAAATACTTCTGTACTGACAGGTTTAAATACAACTGCAACTACAGCTTCAAATACCACCACTACAACTACAGCTGCACCAATAACTGAAATGACACGAACAAGTTTCAATGCAAAATTGGCATTGATAGATATTTAGTCTTCGTTAAAATTGTTTAAATAGGTTAAAAATCTGGTGATGTTTAAGATAGATTTCCTGCAACAATTGAAAAAAATCATGATGAAGACCATGAAACTTCTGAAGAGATGAAACCAAACTGGAAATAAACTTATTTGTCAGCTTAATTGTTATAAGACACTTTAATCTGCTTTAAAAAAGTTATGTTTTCACCTTGCACATGTCAATATGGTGTACTTCAATTAAATGAAATTAATTATAATATATTACAGTTTAGGGGAAGATGTGTTTTATACAAGAAACATAAAGACGAAGATGTGAGGCCAAAATGAAATAAAATGCTTGCGTTTAGTGTTTCCCAACCTAGCCTTTTTTCATTGTGCCTCACCCTGACCCCTAAAACTTTCACTTTACTACAACATAATCACTTTGGGATGATAACAGATATCGGTATAGAGACAACATTTTACCTTTTTGAAATATTAATACTTTATCATATTCATTGTCATAAAATAAAATTACATCGTCAGTGAAAGTTAACCTAGTGATGAGTGCTGTCCCCTGGCTTGATTCCTACGCTCAAGGCTATATCGATCAGATTGGAGACAGATTTATCAGTCTTATCAACCTTGTTACGGTTACGGTGTTTTCCACTCACAAGGTTTTTCGGTTTCTGATAGATGTCCCGAAAATTTTTTAACGATCATTTAACTCTAAAGGGGGCGGATTTCGAGATTTTTGCTAAACAAAAATATTCAGATTCCCCACTTTGAAGAAACATATTAATCCGAAAGAAGGAAAAAATAATATTGATTTGGGAATTTTTGCCATTAATGTTATGTTCGCAACCGAAAAAATGAATGATTTGATTCTTGCGTGTTGCAAAAAAATAATCGGAATGAAAAAAAAAACAACACATACTCCTCCCTCTTCAAAGTTAAAAGGGCTTTCCATTAGCGATGAGGCTCATCGCTCTCGGCTACTGTTGGGATCGTTAAAACTTCTGAGCAGACACAGCTCAATCGTGTTACAAAACTCTGCCAAAAATGTTGCGTACACATAATTATACTCGAATAGCAGGTTACAATTTCGATCAGGCTTAAAATGCATTTTTGTTCATTGACAATGTCTTTTGCTATAAAGTTTATTACATCAAATATTCTTAAAGTCCAAGCGGTGTTTTGCGATGTGTCTATTTCAGATAGCTGCGTTTATTGTTTATTTGTGAGGTGTTTATGTATTGAATAGAGGGACATACAGATATTTAATAGTATCGACCACGGTTTTACTATCGTCATAAAGTGAATCAGTAACATTTTAGATTTTAGACTATTAGGAACTTCAGCGTAAAACGAAGTAACAAAATGAATAACTTTTTATATCTTCCGTGTAATGTAAGCCCATCGTTTTTTAATATACAAGTGCGTTTTATATTGTAAAAACCAAAGTGATTTTAGCTATTTTCGACCGTGTAATATAACCCCACTGAAAATAATCAAGCATTTTATGTGCTCCGAACAACAAGAAGAAGTCTATTTCAGATAGTTGCATTTTGTGATTTTGTGATAAATCTATATCAGATAGCTGCGTCTTTAACAGTTTTGATGTGTCAATTTCAGATAGTTGCATTTATTGTTTGCGATGTGTCTATTTAAGATAATATAGCTGCGTTTATTGTTTGATGTGTCAATTTCAGATAGCCACGTTTACTTTTTGCGCTATATCTTTTTCAGATAGCCGCGTTTTGTGATGTGTCAATTTCAGATAGCTGCGGTTTTTTTTTTTTTTGTGATGTATCTATTCAGATAGCTGCAATTAATATTTGTGATGTATGATTTATTTCAGATAGCTGCGTTTATTTTTTGTGTTGTATTTCAGATAGCTGCGCTTATTTTTTTCTGTTGTGCCTATATTAGATATATTTTTGTATGGATAACCATTGTTGATACTAATTAAATAACTGCTGATATTATCGTTCAAATGTTTTTCTCTAATAGAGACGTCCGGATAAGGCACAAAACTTGCACTTTACCTTTGTTTCTAAAATGTTTTACATTTCAGCTATTTTTTCATTTATAATTTTTCTCTTTTTTCTGGTTAAAGGGAGATAATTCTATTTAAACTATGTTTCCTCACCCATTGCAAACCCTGGCAAATGCACTGTACATGCATGTCCGATACTTGCTTTTGTTATTGATTATACTATACGTAGTGTATAAGTTATGTCGCTGTTCCGGACGTCGCTTACAAATATTTGTCATTCAAATGTTACAATATCGTTTCAACAATTATAAAATTATGGATATGTGGTATGATTGCCAATGAGACAACTATCCACCAAAGTTCAAATAAAATGGATGTAAGTAATTATAGGCAACCGTACGGCCTTAAAAGTCGGTTGTTTGTTTTTTCAAGCAGGTTAATACTTTCAATAACTATTTCGAAACTTTCTCGCAGAAGCTTTTCAATTTTTTGTTCTAGATGTTCTACTTTATGTGGATGTTTATATAGGTAACGCTGTATAAGGTAATCTGATTTCTTCTTCCACAAAGCTAAATGCGTTCCCATGTTCACTGAAATGCACATCAATTAAAAATGTGTGAAATGGATCGAACGGTAAATTGAATGCACGAAAAGGGCGTTTTCCTGAACATCTGTCATAAGAATTGATTTGAAACATAATATTTTATAATAGAATAAGAAAGCATATGGGTATCCATCCCTGACACAAAATCAGTATAAGGGCAGCAAAAAAACACAAAAAGCAAAGGAACATCGCTATTGTTTTTGTTATTCATCTCAGTCACAGTGAGGCCTTCAACACGGTGTAAAAACTCACTGCAAGTTAAAAACGGCTCCAAGTACTGGTTTGAGCGGAAATATTTGAAAACTGACGATCAGCCTCAACTGTGAATTGAAGAACAAACAAACACATTTAATAACTATGAATAGTTCTGTGAAATTAGTGTGTTATGGAGGTAACCTTACATCTTAAGATTCTCCAATATCGAGAGTTTATAAAATTTCTAAAGAAGGGTGAAAAATTCCTGGAAGGTAGCAAAAAATCATCAGCAACTTAATTTGTTCTTACTTGCAGAGGACAGATAGCTGATCAAAATTAATATAATTCTTTCCCCAAATAAAAAGGCGAATCTTTTTGAAAAATGTATTAAACAATTTGAATGAAATTTCATGCAACATTGTTCTTCTAAAACGATATCTAAAAGTTATTTAAAAACAAATAATTTTTTTATTGAAATTAAGCGCTTTGTGTTTTCTACCACTGAAAACTGTTGTTTACTGTATTTCTTCTGATCATTATTTTTTACGCCAATTTTTGACAAAATTTACCTCCGCAACCCTATGACCTATGGCATCGCAATGAGTTGCACGCTTTGTATCCATGTCATCAATGATACTTATGCGGAATTCGGCCTATGAGTAGTAATTTTTTTCCGAAACATAAAAATCTTGTTACAATGTTGTATACAAATACCGCAACCGTAATATGTAAACCGAAGAGTTGAATTTGTTCAGGAACTTACCTCGACTTCTAGGTAGGATTATGCCCCTTTGAAAATCAATCATTATCTGTTGGCCACTAAAACCCAGAAGCCATAACTCTGCTGAGCACGTAAGTCAGTGGCGGATCCGGGAGGGGGTTCCGGGAGTTGGAACCCCCCTCTTTTTGACGATCAATGCATTTGAATGGGGACATATAGTTGGAATCCCCCAAATAAATCACTTACCATAAGCCGTAGACCATGTGGTGTTCAGTGAAGATCATCAGTTCATATGACATTGAAATTTTACTCAAGGTCAGAGGTTAACGATGACTTGTCAAACCGGAAGTATGCTTTTCATAAACAAAACTACTACTATTTGTTTGTTTGGGATGATATTTATACTATCAAAAGGTATACATTTTGCAACATAATTATGCCACTTCCAGCTTTTTATGACACATCAGTGTTATTGCGTAGAAATAAAAACAAGTAAATTGTATGCGTAATACAATCAACGGCAGTCGTTCTGTGTCAGGTATCTGTGATGATATCGATAACAGTCACGTGCATACCTGCAAGACTATATTTGAGGGTCTGGGTGGGGCGACTACTATAACACAAAAGTATATGTTATAGTAGTCTCAGGATGGGGTTAACAGAATAGAGAATAATAAAAAAAATGAATAGAGAAAAATGAGCAAAAAATATAAAGAAAAGAGAATAATAAAGGTGTAAAAGTAAAAAGAATAACTGTTGTAAAGAAAGGATAAGGTACTGATTACAGAAATAAACTATATAGTTACACAGAATAAAGAAATAATCTAATCATAGAAAACCTATTAGTAAAATGAGAATTTTACAGAATAAGCAATATTTTCAAAGATAAAGATAAATGACTTTTACA